CATGGCATGAAAGTTAAATATCCTTAAATGGATTAGGGCGTGGTTAAGGGACGGAAAACAGCGAGTGAGCATAAACGGCACTAACTCTCATTGGAGCAACGTCACTAGTGGAGTTCCCCAAGGCTCAGTACTTGGACCATTATTATTTATTATATACATAAACGACATAGATATCGGCATAGACAGCAACATAGGTAAATTAGCTGTTGACACTAAAATAGGACGTGTAATTAAATCTGACGAGGACTCTGCATAACTGCAGGAAGATCTAAACAAATTTTTCGAATGGTCGGAAAAATGGCAGATGAAATTCAATGTGGATAAATGTAACTCAGTACTCAGTATAGGAGATGTAAACAGGGAAACCAGTTACCAGATGAACAACGATGCCATTGAGGAATCCGACTGCGAGAGAGATTTAGGAGTAATGGTAAGTAGGAATCTTTAAGTCAAGTAAACAATGTGTTTTTGATCGTAACAAGGCTAATAAAGTACTGGGTTTCATACAAAGGAGTGTTAGTTACAAGACAAGCGAGGTCATCTTAAAATTATATCTAGCGCTTGTGAGACCTCACCTGGATTACGCAGTTCAGTTATGATCACCGTATTACAGAATGGATATAGAATCCTTGGAAAAAATCCAGAGGAGAATGACAAGACTAATCCCGGGCATTAGGAACCTTGAATACAGAGACAGGTTAAAGCATCTTAATTTGCACTCCCCCGAGAGACGTAGAGTGAGGGGCGACATGATAGAGGTGTATAAATGGAAGTCAGGGTTAAACAAAGGGGACATTACAAAGGTACTCAAACTATCCAACAAGGAGCGAACTCGTAACAATGGTTTTAAATTAGACAAATTTAGATTTCGGCGTGAAATAGGTAAACACTGGTTTGGAAACAGAGTAGTGGATGAATGGAGCAAGTTACCAAATATCATCATTAACTCGAATACGCTGGATAGCTTCAAACATAGGTTGGATGCTTATTTGAGCAACAGGGGTTGGGTATAAACGGGACTGCCCAGTATGGTTCAATAGGCCAGCTTCAGTTTCCTCCATTCTTATGTTCTTATGGTAGTACACATCACTACCATCATGGTAGTACACAACACCTCTATCATGGTAGTACACAACACCCCCGTCATGGTAGTGCACATCACCACCATCATGGTAGCACGCAACACCTCCATCATGGTAGTACACAACACCCCCGTCATGGTAGTGCACATCACCACCATCATGGTAGCACGCAACACCTCCATCATGGTAGTACACAACACCCCCATTATGGTAGTGCACATCACCACCATCATGGTAGCACGCAACACCTCCATCATGGTAGTACACAACACCCCCGTCATGGTAGTGCACATCACCATCATGGTAGTACACAACACCTCTATCATGGTAGTACACAACACCCCCGTCATGGTAGTGCACATCACCACAATCATGGTAGCACGCAACACCTCCATCATGGTAGTACACAACACCCCCGTCATGGTAGTGCACATCACCACCATCATGGTAGCACGCAACACCTCCATCATGGTAGTACACAACACCACTCATGGTAGTGCACATCACCACCATCATGGTAGCACACACCTCCATCATGGTAGACACAACACCTCCACTGTAGCATGCAGCACCTCCACCATAACAATACACAACACTTCCATCATGGTAGTACACAACAATCCACCAAAGCAATACACAACTCCTCCATCATGGTAGTACACAACACCTCCACCATAGCAATACACAACTCTTCCATCATGGTAGTACACAACACCTCCATCATGGTAGTACACAACACCTCCACCATAGCAATACACAACTCTTCCATCATGGTAGTACACAACACCTCCCATCATGGTAGTACACAACACCTCCACCATAGCAATACACAACTCTTCCATCATGGTAGTACACAACACCTCCACCAAAGCAATAAACAACCCTCCATCGTGGTAGTACACAACACCCCATCATGGTAGCACACAACACCTCCATCATGGTAGTACACAGCACCCACCAAAGCAATACACAACTTCCCATCATGGTAGCACACAACACCTCCATCATGGTAGCACACAACACCTCCATCATGGTAGTACACAGCACCTCCACCATAGCAATACACAACTCCTCCATCATGGTAGTACACAACTCCTACATCACGGTAGCACACAATACCTCCAACATGGAAGTACACAACACCTCCATCATGGTAGTACACAACACCTCCATCGTGGTAGTACACAACACCTCCACCATAGCAATACACAACTCCTCCATCATGGTAGTACACAACTCCTCCATCACGGTAGCACACAACACCTCCATCATGGTAGTACACAACTCCTCCATCACGGTAGCACACAACACCTCCATCATGGTAGCACACAACACCTCCATCATGGTAGTACATAACTCCTCCATCATGGTAGTACACAACTCCTCCATCACGGTAGCACACAACACCTCCATCATGGTAGCACACAACACTTCCATCATGGTAGTACACAACACCTCCACCATAGCAATACACAACTCCTCCATCATGGTAGTACACGACTCCTCCATCACGGTAGCACACAACACCTCCATCATGGTAGCACACAACACCTCCATCATGGTAGTACACAGCACCTCCACCATAGCAATACACAACTCTTCCATCATGGTAGCACACAACCCTCCATCACGGTAGCACACAACACCTCCATCATGGTAGCACACAACACCTCCATCATGGAGTACAGCACCTCCACCATAGCAATACACAACTCTTCCATCATGGTAGCACACAACACCTCCATCACGGTAGCACACAACACCTCCATCATGGTAGTACACAACACCTTCATCATGGTAGCACACAACACCTCCATCATGGTAGCACACAACACCTCCATCATGGTAGTACATAACTCCTCCATCATGGTAGTACACAACTCCTCCATCACGGTAGCACACAACACCTTCATCATGGTAGCACACAACACCTCCATCATGTGCACACAACACCTCCATCATGGTAGTACATAACCTCCATCATGGTAGTACACAAACCCACTAGCACACAACACCTCCATCATGGTAGCACACAACACCTCCATCATGGTAGTACACAGCACCTCCACCATAGCAATACACAACTCCTCCATCATGGTAGTACACGACTCCTCCATCACGGTAGCACACAACACCTCCATCATGGTAGTACACAGCACCTCCACCATAGCACACACAACCTCCATCATGGTAGCACACAACACCTCCATCATGGTAGCACACAACACCTCCATCATGGTAGTACACAGCACCTCCACCATTGCAAATACAACTCTTCCATCATGGTAGTACACAACACCTCCACCATAGCAAACACAATTCCTCCATCATGGTAGTACACAACCTCCATCACGGTAGCACACAACACCTCCATCATGGTAGCACACAACACCTCCATCATGGTAGTACACAACACCTCCACCATCGCAATACACACCTCTCCATCATGGTAGTACACAACTCCTCCATCACCATAGCACACAACACTCCATCATGGTAGCACACAACACTCCATCATGGTAGCACACCTCCATCATGGTAGTACACAACACCCACCATAAAACACAATTCCTCCATCATGGTAGTACACAACCTCCATCACCGTAGCACACAACACCTCCATCATGGTAGTACACAACCCTCCATCACCGTAGCACACAACACCTCCATCATGGTAGCACACAACACCTCCATCATGGTAGTACACAACACCTCCACCATAGCAATACACAATTCTCCATCATGGTAGTACACAACCTCCATCACCGTAGCACACAACACCCATCATGGTAGCACACAACACCTCATCATGGTAGTACACAACACCTCCACCATAGCAAACATAATTCCTCCATCATGGTAGTACACAACTCCTCCATCACGGTAGCACACAACACCTCCATCATGGTAGCACACAACACCTCCATCATGGTAGTACACACACCTCCACCATAGCAATACACAACACCTCCATCATGGTAGTACACAACACCTCCATCATGGTAGCACACAACACCTCCATCATGGTAGTACACAACACCTCCACCATAGCAATACACAATTCCTCCATCATGGTAGTACACAACTCCTCCATCACCGTAGGACACAACACCTCCATCATGGTAGCACACAACACCTCCATCATGGTAGTACACAACACCTCCACCATAGCAATACACAATTCCTCCATCATGGTAGTACACAACTCCTCCATCACCGTAGCACACAACACCTCCATCATGGTAGCACACAACACCTCCATCATGGTAGCACACAACACCTCCATCATGGTAGTACACAACACCTCCACCATAGCAATACACAATTCCTCCATCATGGTACTACACAACTCCTCCATCACCGTAGTACACAACTCCTCCATCACCGTAGCACACAACACCTCCATCATGGTAGTACACAACACCTCCATCATGGTAGCACACAACACCTCCATCATGGTAGTACACAACACCTCCACCATAGCAATACACAATTCCTCCATCATGGTAGTACACAACTCCTCCATCACCGTAGCACACAACACCTCCATCATGGTAGTACACAACACCTCCACCATAGCAATACACAATTCCTCCATCATGGTAGTACACAACTCCTCCATCACCGTAGTACACAACACCTCCATCATGGTAGTATACAACACCTCCACCATAGCAATACACAATTCCTCCATCATGGTAGTACACAACTCCTCCATCACCGTAGTACACAACACCTCCATCATGGTAGTACACAACCCTCCATCACCGTAATAACCTCCATCATGGTAGTGCACACCTCCCATCACTGCAGCACAACACCTCCATCATGGTAGCACACAACTCCTCCATCATCAGTAGCACAACACCTACTGGCGGTAGTAAAGTAACACAACTCCTCCATCATGGTAGTACACAACTCCTCCATCACCGTAGTACACAACTCCTCCATCACCGTAGTACACAACTCCTCCATCACCGTAGCACACAACACCTCCATCATGGTAGCACACAACACCTCCATCATGGTAGTACACAACTCCTCCATCACCGTAGCACACAACACCTCCATCATGGTAGCACACAACTCCTCCATCATGGTAGTACACAACTCCTCCATCACCGTAGTACACAACTCCTCCATCACCGTAGCTCACAACACCTCCATCATGGTAGTACACAACACCTCCATCATGGTAGCACACAACACCTCCATCATGGTAGTACACAACACCTCCATCACCGTAGTACACAACTCCTCCATCACCGTAGCTCACAACACCTCCATCATGGTAGCACACAACTCCTCCATCATGGTAGTACACAACACCTCCATCATGGTAGCACACAACTCCTCCATCACCGTAGCACACAACACCTCCATCATGGTAGCACACAACTCCTCCATCATGGTAGTACACAACACCTCCATCATGGTAGCACACAACTCCTCCATCACCGTAGTACACAACTCCTCCATCATGGTAGTACACAACACCTCCATCATGGTCGTACACAACTCCTCCATCATGGTAGCACACAACTCCTCCATCACCGTAGTACACGACTCCTCCATCACCGTAGCACACAACACCTCCATCATGGTAGTATACAACTCCTCCATCACCGTAGCACACAACTCCTCCATCATGGTAGTACACAACACCTCCATCATGGAAGCACACAACACCTCCATCATGGTAGTACACAACACCTCCATCATGGTAGTACACAACACCTCCATCATGGTAGCACACAACACCTCCATCATGGTAGCACACAACTCCTCCATCATGGTAGTACACAACACCTCCATCATGGTAGTACACAACACCTCCATTATGGTAGTACACAACACCTCCACCATAGCAATACACAATTCCTCCATCATGGTAGTACACAACTCCTCCATCACCGTAGCACACAACACCTCCATCATGGTAGTACACAACTCCTCCATCATGGTAGCACACAACACTCCATCATGGTAGCACACAACACCTCCATCATGGTAGTACACAACACCTCCACCATAGCAATACACACCTCCATCATGGTAGTACACAACCTCCATCACCGTGAAAGCACACAACACCTCCATCATGGTAGTACAACACCTCACCATAGCAATACAC